AATATCTGACACTGCTTGTTTAAAGAAATATACATATATCTTACTGCCAGAGTATTTATGACTCTAATAAGTTTAGTTATTTTGCCTCATGGGGAAATTCCTGCTCCTCCAAATATCAAACTTGTTGAGGTTGTGCTGGTTTTTTCAGGAAGGAACAAATAATATTATTAGTTAAATGGGACTGCACAATATGAAAATACATTAGTGTAGTTTAAAAATCGGACATTGTGTAAGAATTATAATATATTTTACTAGCAATGGGAAATAGAAAAACGTTAAAAATTCAATGGTGTATCCCAAATGTCTAAATAAATACACAAGCATCATTGTTCAGCCAATTGAGGCAAGGATGCTCAGTGGTTCCCTTCAAGAGCACTGTTCTTTCTAATATCCTGCACAGTTATGAGTCCTGTGCATCATTCTTGCATAATTTGACCATTTTTTAGGTACTGTACACTGTGGGACTCTCTGAGCTCTCATTGCCCCATAGGTTTTATTAGAAAGAATACCAAGTGGTTTCAGGTGATTTCTCAGCAACCATCCTGGGAAATAAGTGTTCTTATGGTTCCCAGAGCATCAGCCACATTCGTGTGTTTGTCACAGAAATGTGAAAGTCTTCCTTCCCTTTTGATTTGGAAACACAAGACAAAGCAAGATGCACATGTAGATGTTCAGAGAGCTGTACTCTGCTGCACAGGCAGTGAAACACAAATACTGTGAAATGAAGGATTTGGCTTTGTGCCATCTTGTATTTATTTTTGTACTGTTTTCCTTTTTAAAATGTGAATGTTTAATGATCTGTTCTGAATCATAATGGTTGATGATGTTTCCTGTTACCTTAGTGATAGACTACAAAACTCCTTTACATTAAGAATTTGCAAACTCCACTAGATACTTATTTAATTAAGAGCTGGCGCTGAAAGTTTCTAATAAAATTTCCACAAGGGCTTTAGGGGCTGAGGAGACAAATTTCCAGCAGCCTGTGTTAGTAGTGCAGAGGAGATTAAGGGAATCCTGTCTCAGCACTATGCAATGCCTGACCAGGATAGATTTAGCCACCCAGGTCACAGTTCTGCACTGACCCAGCTATACCAGCTTGCTCCCAGTGGTTCAAACCTCTCAGATAGTTTGGTCATCTCTGTGCTGCTTTCTGAGCTGTATTTGGAGTTTTATGTTCTACAATAAAAGCAAAGGTGAAGTGTCTTCATTGGAAGAGAGCTTCAAGTCTTAGCTCGGTCTGTTCTCTCTGCTCTCGTCTCTGTCCTCTTCCATGTGGCCCTGCCTTCCTCCTGCTTCGTACACTAGTTCTTTGTGTTCCATCTCCTGATGGCATTTTTGGAGACTTTATGATCATTACTTTCACCAGACTTTGTCTGTCTAAGTAGTTAGAGTTCTAATCCAAACTCGTAGACCTTACAAATTTTCCTCTCTTGTGATGAAACATGCAGACTTTCAAGCTCATGAAAGTTAGATGAAAAAGTATACATGGGGAAAGTGTCAAAGCCAGACTTAGAAAAAAGATTATTTTCCAGTCTGTTGCGGAGATGCTCTTTCCAGCCCACTAGCAAATGTACCAAAAAGGTGAGGACAGACCGAATTATCACCATCCTTAAAGGGACAGTTGCCCGTGTCGTTTTCCTTCTGTTGAGAGGGCAAAACCCATCAAAGCAAATGAGTGTAAGCATCTAGCACTGATGGAACATTTCTTTGCTTGGTTGAACATCTAGATGTGAGGAGTTTCTGTATGTGGCTTAATGTACAGTGCTGGTACTTCCGCAGAACTTTTGGGAATTTTTTCTCCTTGGGAAGCATGAACAGTACAAGGGGACCCTTGGCTGTTCGTTTGCATTAAAAGAGCATTCACTATTCATAAGCCAAGTTTGCCAGATCAGTTTTCCTGTCTGAAGTGTTCTGACTTCTGAGTGCCTGATTCTGCAGCTTTGACTTCACTGAAGCCATTAAGTGTTGTATTAATAATAATAATGAAGCCTGTTTTTACTTATGCATTTATTCAAGTCATGCAAAGAATACATCTCCTGCTTTTAGAGAAAGTTTCATTACAGGATTTGAGCATTCTGACTGTGTCTTTTAAATATTAGGATACAAAAAAAAAGGTGAGAAAATTGTCTTTGCAAGTTTCAAACCATTCTAGGTCTACTCTGTTGCCTCCAGCCAGATGCTGTCTGATGTTGCCTAGACAAACCAGGGCAAACCATTATCCTGGGATTAAACACTAAATACCTGCAAGGAGCATTCTCTTTATCAGATAGTCTCTGTTAGCAGAGTTCATTCACTTTATTGCATATATAACTGTGGTGTCAAATAGACTGATTTACAACACCTGGTCTTTTAAATAATCTTTGCTATTTGCTGCACTTGTAATCTGCCAAATCATTTAGCCTTCCTGATAGCAGAAATGCTGTAAAACTTAGATAAACCTGCAGAAGAAATGAACTCGAAGGTACTGCTGAAATCTAGGGCCTGCACATTTGCTATAAACGTGCTGGCTGGTTTGGTTTCCCCCTGCCTAATCTGTGATTGAATGTGGCTGCTGGAGAAATTGAAATTTTATGATAGCACTGCCGTCAGAGGAGATAAGCATTTGTATGCTAGACTAGATTAATCTAAAAGGAACTTTTAGGTGTGGCTAATGAAACCAGCCTATGTGTTAACTGGGTTTCTTTGGGAGTTCAAAGCATATGTCTGTATCTATACAGAGTCTAGTCCAAAACTTTGTGTAAAAAGTCTCGTATATCTGTGTGCTAGTTCTCACTATCAGTGCAGCTTATTCCATTTTACGTTGGAGATATCTTTAAGAAGCTTCGGTTTTTTAAAGGGTATTTCTGAATGCTAATACAAACTTACAGAGGCCTCTAAAATGGTCTCGTTTGACTACCCAAAACTCCCATGTCCTTCTGAACTTTTTGGCTGGGGTAACGGAAAGACATCATGCTTGCTTAGGGTTAGCCTCTTACAAGGTCCATTTGAAAGAAAAGCTGGTGTTTTTTTTTTTTGTTTGAGTTACTAATTTTTTGCTATTAGTGGTGATTTAAACAGAGAGATAATAGAAAGACACATAGCTTTAAATGTGAAAAAGAAATTTGCAAATTGGGTTTTTGATTGAGTGACATGCAAGCTAGTACATTTGAAGGAAAATAAAACAATCTATAATCAAACAGAGGAGAGAGCTCTGTGAGGCAGTAATGTCAAGCTGGTCTGTGTTAGAAATGATGGTGGCCATCAGACTAGAAGAAACAATAAAAATGGAAGGAAATAAAAACATTTATAGAATAACTTCAGTGGTCACCATTAACACTGGTATAAAACCATGAGATGAGTACCACTGTTAACTCCTTTGAGCCAAGGAAGTAGTTCTGTGTCTCAGACATAACAGCGAGTTACCTGGTTGAGGACAAGCATCTGTCATGTCAGGAATTGGAACAGGCTACCCAGGGAGCCTGTGGTGGAGTCACCATCCCTGGTGGCATTCAGGAAACTGCTGCACATGGCACAGAGTGCCGTGGTCTGGTTGACAGGGCAGTGATCGGTCACAGATTGGACTCGATGATCTTAGAAGTCTTTTCCAGCCTAAGTGATTCTGTGACAGTTTTCTGAGGACGGATGGGACATAGCACCCGCTGCTGGAGAAAATGAAGAGTGTTTTGCATGGCATGGCTAGTTTAGGGAAGGAGAACCTTTTGCCTGCTGCTGCTGCGTGAGTGGGGGTCTGTCTGCCTTTGGGATATACTTTGGCCACTGCTAATCTTTCACATCAATAAACTGTTGTGAATGTTCTTAAGAATTTTTCATCCCATCTGAGTTGACAGACCTACCCCAGCTGTATTATTTGCTTAGTCTTTCTATGTTCCTACTGTCATGAAAGGAGAAACAGGGGATTTTCTCAAAGCAGGGAACAGCTTGAGGTGTTTTCTCATGCTATGAATTAACTCTTTTGCTTCCAAGAGAAAGACCCTATGGATCCAATCCACAGCACCAGCTTTCAGTTGGATGCTGTGAATAATGTTCTGTGCCTGATAGTCTTTGAATGTGTGAGTTACTTCAGGGTTGGGAACATCAGGCAGATTAGTGCTAACAACAGGATGGAACAAAGGAGACTTTTGGGTAAAACTCTGGAGTGCTATCTCTTGGATATCACTCTTAGTTATCACTTAGATAGCACCAGAGAACAGCCTCCCTGGGGAAGCAGTGGAAATGGTATTGTTTAAGACATTTAAAATTGGACAGGAGGAAATATATTGTAATGATCAATCCTGTGCTGGTATTTAGATCAGGTCTTGTCTCGTGTGAATATTAATAGGAAGTCTCTGTCTGAAGTAACTGCCATTATTCAGTGTGCATTAGCAGATAACACTGGCTTGCAACCTTCCCCCACATCTGTACTCCCACTTAAAGGACAGCCTGAGTAATGCTTACACCTTTGCCTTTTCTCTGGGTGTCTTTGTATTACCTTGCTTAGATCCTATTCCTCCAGTGCTTCCACCAGACAGACTCCATATAGTACATAGAGATTTACAGGAAGCACATGCAGTTTGTGGCAATAGTAATAAAGTCTCCTGCTGTTTTCAAATCCCTGGGAAACTAAATCAAGTGTAGAGGTCTATTCAAAAAAAAGGTGCAGCATGTTGCTTTACCGTTACTGGTGTGGGTCTGCCTTTTACCCACTCTGTGTGTTTGGCTGTCATATCTCTGAGGTCTGTGTTCAGTCTCCAGAGTGTGACTAAGACATTGCACACCTCAAATGGAAAAGCTGATGAAACAGCTTAAAATAACCTGAGCACCCATGGTTTGCTCACCTCTTTTCCACTACCTCTGTGCTGTCATTACTGACAGGAGCCCATACAGCAAAATTCGTTCTGTGCTGGTGGCCCCCATCAGACAAATGCAGGTCTAGTCTGATTTATGGAGGCAGGAAGACTGGATTCAATTCCTGCATGGTGCTGTGATCTTAATGGAGCTCTGTTTTCTTGGTGTGACTGTAGGTGCGAAGCCTGTCTTCTGGACCTGGTTGAAGCGATGAGTCCGATATCTGCCCCGGGACACCTCTGCAGAGAACCTGACGGCAGGAACAAAATGCACACGCCTCGTCGTGCGAGCCACAGGCTGTCATCATCATGGCACCAGAGCCCTGGCAGCTCCAGGAGCAGAGCAGAGGAGATGGAGGAGAGCCGGCTCCTCGAGGAGATTTTTTTCATTTGATACAACTCATTGGTCTACAGCCAATTTTTAAATTATTTGAGTGACAACTGCTTGTTTTTCCTCTTCTAAAACATAGCTAATTATCATCCAGTTTCATTTTGGATTTAGTAATCATGATGCAAGTATATTGTTGGGGTAGGCCAGTCCAAAAGCGTTAGCTTTTTTCTCTAAACCTTTCATGTGCCAAGTAATCAATTTAAAATAGAATTTTTTTTAATCTACAACATTTTCTAATAGATTGAAGTCACAGTTTTGCCAGCCTCATATCGGAAGTATATTTCATTATCGATTTTTTGGCTCTAAAGCAGTTTGCAAGAACTGCCTAACATTCAAGAACCAGCATGTTCGAAGTAGATTATTTTCTAATTAAACAAGTCTGTTTAAAACCTGGCATATTATAAAGGTACAAGCACTTTATTACTTTTTCACTGATTTTTATGATCTACTTTTTTCTTCAACATTCTGATATTTAACACTGAGTTTTTAGGGGATATATCGTAAGCTCAACTCTACAGTGTCTGATAATGTTAGTAGATGATGTTACAGGTTGATGTACTAGGCACCCGTTTGAATTATATTTCTCTTTAAATCAGTGCTATTTGACAGAGTTTATGTGCTTGGTAACCTAACCCTGAAATAGCAGAACAGAGTCAGACGTTGTAGAGGTCCAAAACCTATTTGATGTACTTTTCAAGATGAAATACATAGTAGTTGTAGTATAAGAGCAGTCTTAAGACATTTTCACTAACTTGCACTATTTTGATCCTGTATCCAGGCTCCATTGTAAATAAGACAAATCAGTAATTATTTCCACTAGCGGCTCGCGAAGCACATTTTCCTGACGGCTTTAATTATTCATGCTGTATCTATTTCAGTTTATTTAAATGCACTTCCATCTACTGCATGTACTTGGTTATTTAAAGAAATGTGCCGAATTGGTAAAAATGACTGCAGATTACAGGATTAATGGTCATTTTCTCCACAATGCAGTGTTCATATTTTATTGTAACAGTAGCCACCGGCATGTGTTCCTAGAAATATGAGGCTAAAATACTCATTTTGCACAGTAAAATTGCAGCGAGGGAAAGGTAGAATTGAGCCAGCGCGGGCAAGTTCTAGGCCATTTGCTCCCAAACTCCATTTCGTGGGCCAGTACCGCTTTTCAGATGGTCTCTTTAGGCAACCCTGCTTATCTTAATGGCAGGGGGTTGCTGTGCTGATCCTTGGGGTATGGCTGCTGCCTGCCTCCCTCACGCTGACTCCTGTGCAATGCTCTGCAAGGAGCTCACAAGGCTTGGGAGCACAATGAGAGCATTGGTGTACCTGCCCCTGGCAGCACTGTGCTCTCATGGCAACAAAACAAAAGGAGGATGAAGGGGAAGAAGAACCTCAGGTTACTCTGGGCTGCTTCGCTCAGGCCCAGTTCTTAATCACAAATTAGGTGATACCGTTTTTGTGCATCCCAGCTGAATCTTAAAAGCTGCTTGGAGGAGTTTAAAGGAGGGAAGCAGCATTGCTGGACCAGAAAATTACTACTGTGGAAAGCCCCTGTGTGGTCTGTCCTGGTTTTAGTTACGTATTACAGTTCTTTGGAATATGTCCATCTGCTGTTGAGTGTCCCGCTCGTTCTACTCCCTGAGCCTGTGAAGGCACAGGTTTGTGCTAAGAGCCCCAAAGATGTATTCAGTGCCCTGACCCGAGTATAGCGAGTGGGGAAATAAGTTTTCTCATTCTGCTGGCTGAGTAGTCAGCCAGCCCTTGAAAAGGGCAGGAAAAAGGAGGAGAAAAAAGATAAAAATGTACAAAGACCAGCAGGAAAACTGGGGATAACCATGAAGAAATGACTGTCACATAAATCTTAAAGTTTGGGGTTTCTTTATGGAGTTTTTTAGTTTTGTTAGTGTTTTTTTTCGTTAAGGTTTGGCATTTATAAAGAAACAGTTCTCTGATTTCAGTCCAATTTCTTCTCTTCTCTTTTCCAGTTTGACTGAAACTTTAATTGCCTTTTCTAATAAGTGCTAACTGACCTTTCGAAACAGCAAAAAATACATGTCTATTTCTTGAAAGGTGCCTTTGTGTACCCAGTCGAGAACACTACGTTGGGAGCATTCTCTTCTTTGGTTCTTTTGTGGGTGCCAATATTTAACTACTTTAGATTCCTTATGATCCATTTTGTCCATAAGAATTTGTAGTTATGAAGGTGATTTTTGACTTGAATCTGTATTTTGGTTGTAGCTCTTTTTGAAAGGACATTGTCAAGTTTGTGGGCTCTATGCTTAAGGTGCTGTCCATCAGTCAGAGCTACACGGGAGGCATATCTTCACAAAGCAAAGGTTTCTAGAATAAAGATGGTTAAAACGTCTGATGGCTGAAGACCTGTATGCTTTAATTCTCTGTGAGATGTGAACAAAGAAACAAAACCTATTAATTTCATAGACCCTGTGGAAAATCATTTTTTATAATGCTGGCTCTTGCTCTAGTTATCAGCAGTACATTAGGAATAGTGTTTAGCAGTCAGTGCAAGCAAAGATATTTTGCCATGAGGCACTACAAAGTTGAAGTTATTAAAACATTTATAGCCTTAGAAAAAAAAAATCAATGATTGTCAAATAGGAAAGGACAAAATCAGTAGTTGGGACTGGGAGGGGAATTGTTTTCCATCTGCTAAAACAGTGGAGGAAATGCAAAAATTAAGCTAGCAAAAGCAATCACTTGACAGTGTCCTTTTAAGTTTAAGCTCCTATATTGGGAGCTGCCAAGTTAGTCCAGCCATGGACTGTTTGTCCAGAGTGTCCCCAGTGAATATTCTCCAGCTACACATGTGGATGTGTTTTACGTGAGGCTTTGTGGAGTGACGTGGCTTTTCTAAGGCTCCCACCCAGGCCTTCAATTTTTGTCCTTCCTCAGATGTTCGTACACACACTTGATGTCTGTTTGTGTAGTTACTGCTTTTGTGCACTTTGCACACCATGGACCTGTAGTAATCACACCTTTTCCATGTCTAGCCTCTCCAGTGTTGCTGTTGAATCCCATCCTGAGTACATATTTATATATGTATGTGAGGTCTTAATCTAATAAATTATCTGGGAGTTTCATTTATCCTTCCAGACTTTTATTTGGCTTATCTTCTTGTTTTTGTCCAGCTCAGACATCAATACTGCCGTTGACAATTTGTTCCACTTCCCACATCATCACATCATGTATGTTGTGAGTCTCCAGTTTGCTAAGATACATGAGGAGCTCATTTTAAGCCTCCTCTTCCTCTCCAGGACACCAGTCTTGCTATGAGAAGAAGCAAGACCTCTTTTGCAGCAAGAAGTAGGGGAAAGGTCTCAAAATACAAAAGAGAAGAGAATGGGAGAGCCAGCACCATGCTTTGGACAAAAAGGTGGAATTAAAGAGTAAGGAAGAAAGAATGAAGTGAAAGCAAGCAAGGATAAAGATGCAAGGCAGAGAACTGTACCAAAGGATGACTAAAGGTGTAGGTGAAGTGGAGGTGAGCCAGAGGGTGGGGCTGTGTTGTTAAACTATAGTAAGCAGATGAAGGAGAATTGTGTGTTTATGTCTTGGAGTGAGAAATGTCTTCAAGCACAGGTTCCCTTAGAGGTTTATGACTCCATACCCCTTTTCTAGATCATGTTCCTGCATTGGGGAGCCACTGTCCAAGGGATACTTGGCAAATGAGGGAAAGAAGGAAAAATGACCTTGACCTAACTTAGTTGCTCCCCTTTAGAGTAGCTGGACAAGGAGGCCAGAGCACAAGGAGTGCAGTAGTGCAGAACAAGTGTATAACTGAGGGCATGGACTGAATTTAGTTGCCAGCAAGGTATGGTGACTTAGATGACAGAAGACTATAAGACTGAATGTAGCAAGAATCTGAATAAGGGAGAAATAAACAAAACAAAATTTGCAGTGATCCAATGATCTGTGGAGGTTTGGTGTTAAGGAAGAAGAGGAAAGGGCTTAGCTGCACTTCAGAGAAATTGAGCCTGAGATATCGCTTGAAAGTGCCCGTGAGCCTGGGGTTAAACTCTAAAAGTTGCAGCAGAGATTTTCTGAAATACGACCTCCAGGCTGTGTTTGAATTTGCACTATCTGTGGGGGAGAGAGCACAGCCTGGTTAGTTAGAAACCTCCTTTTTCACTGTTACTAAATTTACGAAATTGTGTGCTAATTAGTGTATGATTTATAAATTTACATAACTGCATGCTACATAAGACAACACAGAATATTGAATGAGGTGATTTAAACCAGCAGAAGCAGTGAAGTCAGCTCTGACTGGGTGGCTTTCCTCTGGAAAGTGCCTCTTGTGATCCATATGTGCTCCACTCCCTGCATCACTTGAAGGCTTGTCTGCTCACAATGACAATAAATGTTTTACAGTATTGTGACTCCATGTAGATGAGAGACAACTACCTTAAGCATCTTTGGCATGGCTATGTAGCAGAGATTTCTTGGTGATCCTTGGTGTTTGGAAGCAGAATTCAGCTAAAAAAGAGCAAGAACCTGGCCTGGTCAGTTTTGGTGCTTGATGACTCCACAGTTCACAGGGGGTGGTACAGCACCCCAACTGCGGCACAGGGCTGGGGATGTGGGGGAATTGGCTTTGTTTCCCAGCTCTGGGGGAGCCACTTTGCCTCCCTCTACAGCAGGTTCTCTTGGTGAAGTGTGTTTTACCACCAGATCTCAGAGGGGCTCTGACTTATATTAGGGCCCATAGCAGAACATGTTGGATGTATCCACCAACAATTTGTCTGTGAAATGAAAGCTGTAAGAGCAGAAGCGTGTAGGCCAGTTATTGCCATGGAACAGAAGCTGAAGCTCTCAGACTTCATGTATTTTGAGGCTTGAAGGGGTCATTTCAGGCTCTGGGAAGCTAAGCTGGAGAAACTCGGATGTCACTGACTGGTGAGGCCCTAACATATGTAAGGTAAGAGATGCACAGATGGTCCCAGCAGACAAACTAATCCATAAGCTGCAGTGACAGCCATAACTTCTTAGTTTCCTTAATTTGGGAGTCATCCTGAGTACGTAAAAATAACTTTTCGCTCATGGCATGTCTGGGAGTGTAAGTTCATTCTTTCTGGTCTCCTCTCTGCAGACAAGAGGAGAGTGAAAAGTTGGAAAAAGTTATCTTTCCTGGTTGCTTACTGGCAACTACCTTAAAACCTTGAAGCATGCATTAGATTAAAGCAGTTATCCAAACACAGAGTGTTGAATATCGTGAGCATTAAGGACAGTGTGGGAACTCCTCTCCTCTGCTAGACCTGATAAGGAAGGAAAGGACAAGATGAATTCACAGACACAAAAGCTGGTTCTTTCTCAAGTTAGGGTTGACTGCGAGGAAGTTGCATTGAAATTTTAAAAGCGCCCCGTTAAAATCTTCCAGCATTCAATTATTCTTCCTGCTGCGAAACTGCCTTATTTTGAGGCTGGGGTTATCTACCTTGAATTTACAGCTGCTGAACTTTGTTGTGCCTTTGGAAGCAGGATTGCAAAGTTCCCATGTTGTCAGACAGTGAGTAACCCAAAGGGAGTGATAAACTCCTGGTCCAGCCTTCTCTTTGCTGAGATGGCATCCTTTACGCCTTGTGTCCTAATGTTTGCTTTCCAGCTCCTGGGTGATTTGGGGTGCCTGTTTCTGAACTTTATCATTTATGCATCTTGAAGGGTTTACACTAGAGCAGAATGCCCAGTTCCAGCTGCTGTTGATGTGAAATGGTGACAGCGTGGCCTCATTCTGCACAGCATTTCCATTTTGGCACTTTCAGGAGCCTTTTTTGGAGGTGTTGGGCTGGGTACCTTTCTGGATCCCTTTCCCCACCCACGACGTGGGGAGGCCCAGTTCTAGTTCCATCTCCATCTGAAGAACCATTCCGACGTCTTGAGGGACGGGGAAAGGGAACTCCAGCACCAGGGGTTTCTCAGGCCCCGAGCCTGGAGGGGAGAGGTGCCCTCCCCTCCCCCCACGCACGTGGTCCCATGGTTGGTACAGAGACAGCACACCAGCGTGGAGAGGAGGCAAGAGAGCGTTTATTGTTGGGGATGTAACATTTATAGGGTTTAGGAGGATTCACAAAGTAACCAATTAGAAGTCTCAAGGGGCTTACAGGAACACCCAATCACAGGAAGGGGTTAACAAGGTCCAGTGAAACACCTTAGGACATCTTCCCAGGACATTCCTGAGATAACACTACCGTGGGGGGTCTTGCGAAGAAGAAACACGTGTTTGCAAAGAGACCACCAAAAGCCATTTTAAGACATGTTTAAACAACAGTTTTCCCATATAATGCAGGTTTAGTGCCACAGTACCTGGTCTGGTTGCACTTCTGATCATGGCCCTATTTCTTGAAGCAGAAATTCTGTTAAGTGAAACCAGGAGACCCTGCTAAATTTAGAAGAGTTGAAGACGAAGGAATCGTGTGAAGTAGAAATACGAGGCAGAAAGAAAAAGATTGTAGGATTCAATTTGGGATGGAGCATAAACGTGTGGGTGCAGCACCTGTGAACTCAGACACCTTGAAAACAGTCTGACAGACACATGGTTGATGGGATGGGTGAGACCCAGACAACACAAACTCTCAGAAGGGGACAAGTGAACAAAGCACGAAGCAGTAAAAACAGACAAGAAGACTTTGAGCTGCAGGTGCGGAGGCGATGACATCTCTGAATTGCAGAGTAAATGGCTCCTTGTCAGTGGAGCTGGTGCCCCTCTATTTGAACTAGTGCCTTTAGCACAGGGATCTCATTACCAGAGAGTTTACTGGCAGATTGGAGAGATTTCAGTGAGGAGTAATAAAAATGATCAGGGACTGCTAGAATTGACATAATGAGGAAACAAGATGAGAAAAGTCAGATATTTATAGCATGGGTGAGAGAGACAATTAAAAGGTGGGGTGGGAGATGGACTTGGTGACCTGAAAGCCTTGTCTGTTTCTAATAACTCCTTGTTGCCTGCTATAGGGAGGATTTGAATTTACCAAGGCTGTCAATCTGACTCTTAACAGCCCTAACTTCCCATGTTGAAAAGCTCAGGTGGGTGTACTCTGGCTGTATTGGCAATGTCAGAATGTCACTGGTACTGTCCTCTATTTAAAAAAGTAGTCATCAGCCATGTTGTGGGAAAAAATTGACATGATGACAGTAAAGGGAAAAAAATTAGACCTTCATAAAATAAAAAGCCATAGAAGACCTTGCAGAGAGCAGGGCTGATTGGGAAGGGCTCCCTGGTTGTTCAGCTGATGATGCTGAGCTTTTCCTGCTGCCCACAGGGTGGCCTGTGCAGTAGGAAGGTCCCTGGGGAGGGAGCAAATGTGAGCATTTTTCTCTATGAGCTGGCACCCATCTGTGCACGCAGCTGAGCAAAACCTCTGCTCTCCAAGACACACAGATGTGCACAGGCTGTTGTCCCCAACAGCTGCTGAGCTCCACTGACAGCTCTTGGAGCAAGTTCTGTGCCAGACAGAAACCTGCCATCCCACTGACAGCTGCAGCCACGTGTGGGGTTTCGCTTCCCTTCCTGCTGCCCCAGTGCAGTGGGATCCAGCCCTGAGGGACAGGCAGCCTCACCCACGGGTATTCCTGCACCTGGGCCAGGGTCAGTGTTCAAGCAGTTTTTTAGAGCCTCAGCTTTGCTCTGGACTTGAGAGACTGCAGCAGAGCTGGAGGCAGCCAAGCTGGAGACATCCCAGTTCCTGGCTTGCAGTCAAATTAAAACACAGCTACCGAAAGCAATGGGGCTGTGTTTGTTTGAGGCACTTTGGGGAAATATCAGAGCGGTGCTTGTTGAGTCTGGTGGTGGAGTAGCCGCTCTGTTTTAATGATACCTGTGTGCAAAGGCCACAGCTGCTGTCATCCGTTTCACATTAGTCTGACTTTCACAGAACAGACATAGCCTAGGGTGGTGGAAGGGAGAGAAAGGTGACCAAAAAAAAAGAAAAAGCTATCCATTCCATCCATTTTTTCACTACTCTTTCCATCCTTCTGAGCTGCAATACCAGTCTCTGGCTGAGCAATAGTAATCTTATCCAGCGTACTGTTGATTTAAACCTCTTGGATTTATATAACTTTGGAAATGGTAAACTATATTAATTTGCTGT